TTTGTCACCGCCGCCTATACCGCCCCAGCACCACCACCTCTAATCATTTGGGGAAAAAATGTCAAATTTATTATGAATTCCATATTTTTGGCATAATTCAGAATGATTTAAGATGGAAGAAAAAAATGTTGGCATTCTCAAAGAGAAATATGCCATATTTTTGGCATTTTCCGAAAAAAATGGAAGTTTGTAGGAAATATGACATTTTTTTTAACGGTCGGAGGTGGTGGTGCAGGGAGGCGGTACCACCACCTCCTGTCACCGGGGTAAAAAAATGCCAAAAAAATTATGAATGTCATATTTTTGGCAAAAGTCAAAAGGATTCAAGTTGGCAGAATGAAAATGTTGGCATTCTCATAGAGAAATATGCCATTTTTGTGGAATTTAAAAAAAAAAAGTGGCATTTTTTACACCGATCGGAGGTGCTGGTTCAGGGAAGTAGTACAGGCGGTGGGAAAGGTATCCATATTTTTTTTAATTTTTTAATGGAGTTTTACTATTTTTTATTAATTTTCAAAAAAAAATTAAAAAAAAAAAATCTTATTTTTTATTTTATAAAAATTTTATTAATTTTTTTTATTATTTTTCTACGAATTATTGAATTTTTTCGAATTTATTATGAATTAAACATTTAATTATGACTTTTAGCTATCTTTTACTAATATTTAAAGGAGGGGTAAGAATGGAAGGAAGAAATGAGTATGTTTCCAATAGGACCACTATGGTCCTATTTTGGAATAAAAAACATAGCAAGTCCTATTTTGAGTTTTTGCCATAGTTTTAGTCCTATTTGAAGTAATTTCTATAGATCGAATGAACTGGACCGGATCAAACATTTTGGACCAGTCACTTAAATCAATTACTTTGGCAGATTTTATATGGAGTACAACATTCATAGTACCTACTACCTACTCCGTATTTCATCGAATGAATTTATTGAAATTGATTATATTTTAGATATTTTTTGGACAATTCTTTCTTATTTATATAATATTTGCTTAATATTAATTTTAACATCCTTAGGGGTATCACAGTGATGTCATCAGATCATAAGATATTTGACATTGATTATATTTTAGTTGAACCGACAGACTTTACTGATTTGCTGTTTGTGAAAATATTATATGTTAAATGCTTTTAATGATAACTAAAGAAAAGAATCTTATGAAAATATCAATTCAATTACAAAATAACTTAAAATATACACTCACAAATTAATCTAATATGGTAAGACTGATAAGTTGAAAATATTATTAGTTACCCAACATGCTCTTAATAGCTTTAAGCTGGGATATAAATATTTGAATTAATAATAATATTTTAAAATTAACATTTTTAAAATTCATAAATTAATCTAAAAGTTAACCTACCTGTAAAATTTTATAAATTGTTCTAGCCACGATTTATTATTTTATATAAACGATATTTTATTAATCTTTAATTTTTAGTGTTCATTATAAGATCACTCTCTTACCTTAACCGGTGTTCACCACAAAATGTTTTATTATGGTATCCATTTATTTAAATTAAAAAAGTATTTGTTGAGCTTTCTTCCTCTCAATCCAAAGGTCCAACACTTTCTCTTGGACTTCCGTGTGATTTTAATGGGTTGGATATGTTTTAGTGAATTAGTTAAATGATTAGAGGGTGCAAATAATAGCAAGAGTAGAAATGATAAGTGGGCCAAGTTTTATTGAATTTGGAACAATTACAACACACCTTACAGAGCCTAGCGTCGAGCCTCTATTGTCAACCCATAACAATGAAATAAATGCTTCTATTTATATTATCATGGGGTAAGTGGTGGTGGTGGTGTGACGAACCTTGAGTGGCGCATTATAAAATCTTCCATAAAATCTTTCATATCTCGTGCATTGTATGTGTTTCCTATCAAAATCCATGCTTTCTCGTCGATTATTCTAAGGCTGTCGGCTAAGAGTTTTCCAATGATGGTCAAGACGAACCATCCAAGGACCTTGTGTTGTGCGGGTTCTGGACTTACTTATTCGCATGGCTATTGGGCCAATCCTGTGTTGGGCTAATTACCCTATCAGAAGTCCCCCACTTCTGATTTAGGGGTGAGCAAAAAATACTGAAAAGTCGGTATACCGCAGTTACCGTACCGAAAAATACCATACAATACCGGAATATTGGTATATCGTCATTTTCGGTACGGTATCACACCGTACCGATTTATTTCGGTACGGTAACAGTAAATGTTTTCAAATACCACGGTATACCGGTATAATACTGTACCGACTCTCTACCCAATAATTTCTTTGAATTCTAAAATATTGTAAAAGTCCATTACAATTTTGAAGCCCAAAATTAATACTTAGGTTGATTACAAATACCAAAATACATAAATAAAAGCCCAATTTTTCAAACCCATTATCACCTTCTAGACTTCTACTACGTAACATTCAAACAAAGTAACCCCAGTGACTAATGAGTAATGTACTAATGTCCATAAACAAGTCCATCTTGTTCCAAGAACTTGCGAGTCGTGATGGGTGAGCCGCTGAGTAGCTGACAAGTGAAAAGGGATACACTTAAGTGATGCATGAGTGTATCTACATAGGGATCCTGCGAGTCAAGGCACACAACTTTGTCTGAAAGTCTTATTGAAATATATTTTTTTAAATATAAAAATGACTAAATACACGATATCATATTAAGAATAAATGCTTTTATATCCATGTTGTTTAAATAATTTTATTTATCTTTGTTAGAGATCACTATTGATTTAATTATATCTATATTGTTCAGGTTATTTTAGGAGAATGTGTTACTTTTTAATACGTGGCATGTTAAACTGCTTAAATAAACTAATAATAATTATTGTTCAATATTGAATATGACATGAATAGATTATTGATTGTATTTTGTAGCATTTTAATAATGGATTACCAGTGATCCAGTGATCTATACTTCATATCTTCTAATTCAGTTTCTTTTTATTATTTTTTGTTTATAAAAACTCTTAAATTATGTTTATAATTAATTTCAATATGTGAATAGTATGATATGTTTGATATGTGCAACATTTTAAAATGAGCATAAAGCAATACCTAACGAGCATACATAATTTACAAAATGAGAATCAAAAAATTCAAAACCTCATTTGTGTGCTCATTGATTTTGGGCGTTAAATTTGAATCCGTATGAATCTAATATATAAATTCGATGGAATATTATACTTTTGAAAAATGCATGAATAGGACAATTCACAAAAGCTCATTAAAATCTCTAGTATAGTCAACTTTTTATTTATGTGTACTCATCAGTAAAACTACGTTTATACTCCATCAGAAAAAAGAAGAAAATGAGAAACATGAGCCAAATCTAGGGTTAAGATGCCCTTTCATCCCCGTCAATCACGAAATTCACCATAGATGTCGATTGAAAGCTCCATCATCATATATCCAAGAGGCGAGCTAAGCGAATCTTTGTGGTGAGGAAGCCACGAACCTCGCGAGCTAGGGACGATGATCATACAGTGCGCGAAGCCTCCCATGGACGAAGAAGAGATCCGGTTGGTGCGAGGGAAGCCTCCTAAAGACGAATACATGTTCTGCGCAGAAAACAAAAAGTCCGATTGTACTTTGCGCACGGTACAATCAGCTGTACGATGGAGTTTAGTTATACAGTGTACCCGCGTGTAATGCTAACAAATGTTATACGAGTATACAGTTATACAGTATTATGGGGGTGTTTGGAACCGATTCTGCTTCTTCTTTTTTAAAATAGAAGCAGAATCAGAATCATTTTTGAGAAGTTGGTCTTCCCCAACTTTTACAAAAGGGGTAATTTGACTTTGCACCCCATATTGTTGTCCAAATTGGACTTTGTACCCTGTTTTTAAAAATCTTTGTTTTTGCACCTCAACCCCATATGAAAAGACAAAAATGCCCTCAATCAAGAATATGTTGAAGACCAACACAATTGTTAATGGAGGGGCATTTTGTCTTTTCATATGGGGTTGGGGTGCAAAAACAAATATTTTTAAAAACGGGGTGCAAAGTCCAATTTGAACAATAAAATGAGGTGCAAACTCAAATTATCCCTTTACAAAAACTGTTTCGAGGGGTAAAATGGGATAAAATCAGAATCACTTCTGCATTTTTACCCAAACATCCCGGCTATTATTTCTCGGTTTTTACCCAAAAAGTTAATCAATCCAAATAGGGGTGGGAAAAACCGAACCGAAACCCAGAAACCGACCCTAGACCGATCCGAATTATGACCCCGGTCCGGGTTTTTTCTTTTTAACCGGCCCGAATTAAAAATACCCGGACCGAACCCGAAATTTCAGGCTCATTAACGGGCCTTAAAATCTATAACCCGGCCCGGACCGAAAAAACCCGAAACAATTAGCTTTAATATAAAATTAATACAATATATATATGAGTATAAATTTATAAATATTTCCTAATATATGATTATAATCACGGTGGATAAAAAAATCATTTAGTAACTTTTAGTGACTACAAATATGTTCAATTTGTTTAGCATAATGACCATGAAAAATAGATTTATAGGAACTCTATTCACATTTTTATCTATAAATTTTATTTCGAAATATTTTTAAGAAACTTATATTATTTATTTATATGCATCTTAAATAAAATATTAAGATAATTATCTTCTTTGGATTTGAATGTTGGTGATTTTGAAGACTAATATTTGTGTTATTATTTGCGGTTTGTATTTTTCATTAATTTTATTTGAAAATAGGTGTTAAAATATAAAAGAACAATGAGATAGTTCACGTTCGGGCTTTAACCGGCCCAACCCGAACCCGGACCGAACCCGGGCTACCAAAAACCCGACTCGGACCGAATATGACGGACTTTGTTCCGGTCCCTAATTTTCATAACCCGAGACCTTCCGGGTAATTTCCGGGTTTAACAAAAACCCGACCCAGACCCGACCCAGGGGTTTATCCAAACACCCCTGCTACGTATTCTGATTCTCGAACAGTCGCCAAGTAAATCAGTGGGAGTTTCACAAAACCAGGAAAAAGAAGGTCAACCACTAAACACTGGAAAAAGGTGCAAGTGATTGAATCATGGATCCCAATTTTCAGACCACCGTCCGTAGTCGTAGCTTGCGTAGCTTCGTGACGAGAGAGCGCCTCTTTTCCGCCTCCTCCAATATATATAAGCCCACTGCCCGCCGTTGCTTTGTCCGAACGAATTCCGCCTAGCTTATTTCATCAGATTGAGTGCAAACTAGTTTTTGATCGGAGTTCACAATTTCGTCAGTGAATGGCGGCGAAGGGGAAGCACGGCCGGTGGCAGCTGAGGAGAACGTCTCCATCCTGGCCGACGGTCTTTACCGCGCTGATAATGGTGGCGTTTTTCGTTTTAATTCTCATCACTTTGAGGATTCTCTCGACTTCTGGAGATTCTCAGGAAGCTCTCAATCTCAGATCAATCGCGCGCAACATCTTGGAAAGGTAGGTACTTCCGTCTATTGGTATGATCGCTCGATTTACTGAAATACGAAGCTGATGTGGTTGTTTTTATTTGAAATTGTGTGATCAAGAGACGTTAACAGTGAAAGAGGAGATCAATGGGTTGAAGTGATATCCTGGGAGCCTAGGGCCTTTATCTATCACAATTTCTTGGTATATACAGAGTAGTTCTTTTCACAATTTCTCGTCTTTTGACCTTATTTGATTGATGTATTTATGTTTCTCTTTGAAAATGATTGGTATGGAAACTGTATCCTCACAAATTCGGTTTTCCCTCTAACATGAAACTATATTTCATCTTTCCTAACCCCTGACCTAATCCCGTCCCCACAGGCCTGAACCCAGTTTTATATGCAAATCATTGTTTTTCATAAAAGATTAAAAAGTTCACCCAAGAGTAAACACAACCACCTTAATAAGCACAAATTGGACAAGAAGACTATCAGTTTCTAAAATATGTTAACCAATCTCGATAGATACACCTTTTAATCTGACCTGTAGACTGAATAATTATATAGCACTCCATCTGTTAACCAATCTGGAAAGATACCCCTTTTGCTCTGACCTGTGCCTGAATTAATATATAGTACTCCATCTGTTTCATATTAGGCACCGTTTTGGTTAAGAAATTTTTTTCCATGATGATGCCATTTATAAAATCAGGAAAGATTTTATTACCATTGTTTTTACCTATCTTCTCTATCTTAAATATCATTTAAAGTAACTTTTAGTATGACAAGAAGCTGAATTGCTAAGGGTGTGTTTGGTTCAAGGTAGGGTATTGGAGTGATTTTGTGTTGCTTTGTTAGGGGGTTGTGGGTGGGGAAGAGAAGAGGTTATTAATGCGTTTTGCGCCCCCATAATACCTTAGTTTGTAGGGAGAGGAAAATAAGCGCAGGTGAGGAAGAACTCTATGGCTTGATTGGCTTATCCCCCTTGAAAATTTCTTAACCAAATGAGAAGAGGTTGAGCAATTTCCCTAGCTCCTTTCCTCACTCATACCTCCAAACTAGAAATACCTCCACCCAGTTTGGAACTGGGAGAACATAAATCTAATTTTTTACATATGGGTGGTGGTGTGGTATATGTAACATGTATAAGATGGATGGTTGCAAATCATGTTCCCTTCACCCAGTCACCCATAAATTGTATGTTATATCGTTATGCATAAAACAAAAAAAAATGTGTTTTTTCCACCGCATATATCATACTCAGTACATCATTTACAAAATAGTTAAAGTTGTGTTGTTGACCTCCCCACAAATCGTATGTTTCATTCGTAAAGTAGTCAAAATTGTATCCCTGATATCTTGCTCGGCACATTTAGTTTTTTCTTTTGATTTCGTTTAATTATTCCACAATGTTTTGGGTGGGTACCTTTAGTTCACTACATACCGTAAAAGCCATGAGAATTACTGTTAGTGTGTAAAGTGAAATTGATAGCAGCTTTGCGCCTTCTAGAAACAGACAATACATTTGCTTATTGCTCCGTGCGTGGTTTACCGATAGTGAGTATTTGAGAGTTAAGATGGCTAACCAGGCTTTGGATCCACTGGGTATAAAGAAGAGCAGAATTTATATTGCCTCATAGAGTGAGTGACATTTGCAAGTGTGCTGTGCTGTTTTGGAGGATTGGACTAGGGTAAGTGCTGCATGCTTGCATTAATAAGATAAGATAACTGAGAATGACCTTGAACTCAAGTCTGGTCAATATTTTGCAAATTACAGATGCGCTGAACGAAAAATTCAAAGGAAGTATTTCAAACAATGCCTCTATAGTGTAACTTCCAGACCTAAGAAAACATTACGAAAGCATCCACAGAAATTTTTGTCTGAGATAAGAGGGGATGCAAAGGTAGGACAATTACTTAAGGAAAGGGAAAGGTCTAGTCATATGTTGTTTTTTACTCTGATATTATGTTTCTTTAGTGTTTGAACTGTCATATAAAGTGTTAGACAAGGGCATGGTGAACATGGAAGTAATTTCCTTCATACATTTGGATGAGAATTGACGGCTATAAATTGCTACATTCGGACAAGTAGAAAAAGTTAATTCGTAAAGCTATGAAAAGGGCAAAGGGGGATAAGGAGTTATTGCAGAAGTTGATGACTTTTAGTGATTTGTCTAGCAAGTTCCTCTACATTTTTCAGAAGATGAGTTTGAAAATACAATAGGATCTTTAGTTACATTTTTCAGAAGATGAGTTTGAAAGTACATTTTTCAGAAGATGAGTTTGAAAATACAATTTTCAGAAGATGAGTTTGAAAATACAATTTTCAGAAGATGAGTTTGAAGATGGGTGTAAGTTTATGTACATCCGGATTTCATTTCTAATGCTTAATCTATTGAATGCTTCCTCAGCTGGTCTTTTAAAGAAAACAGATTTTTAACATGTTTCCTTTCTCAGTCAAAGGATGAATGCGAATATCTAATTAATCTTGCAAAGCCCCATATGGAAAAATCAACAGTTGTTGACAATGAAACTGGGAAGAGCAAAGACAGCAGGTGAGCATATAATTTACTTTTGCACATGAACGTATCATTAATCTTCACTTAGGGTAGAATATTCACCATATTTTTGGCCCAACTCTCTCAGGGTGCGTACAAGCTCAGGAACTTTTCTTGCTAGAGAAGGTAACCAAGTAATCAGTAACATTGAAAAAAGAATTGCAGATTTCACCTTCATACCTGTAGGTAAGCAGTTCAGCAGCAACAACAAAATTATTTGATTTTGAATATTCTATGTTTTGGGACCGGAGAGTATTTGAAATCACTGTTGGATTCTGTTTTATATAAAGTTACATGGCTAATCCTGAACCTTATTTGAAGAGTAATTTTGAATCAAACTCAGTGTCATAGAGTTGAACTAATATGATGCATGATAGTTTATAGATGCCTTAATGAGTAAGCGTCAAAACTACTATAGGGTATGGATATGCATATATTGTGTCTTTCCAAGTCTTGTGTCTCATTGCTGTTAAGCTAATGTTTGAAATTTATAGAAAAGTATTTCCCGTGCTTGCGTAGAGAATGGTGAAGGCCTTCAAGTTCTCCACTATGAAGTGGGCCAGAAGTATGAGCCACACTATGACTACTTCGCTGATGAGTTTAATACCAAGAACGGGGGCCAACGAGTTGCTACCCTTCTCATGTACCTGTAAGAAAATTTTCTTGCATGATACTCCGTTTAATCTCCTCTAGGATTAAGGCTTGGATGTTGTTATTGTTGATACCCCATTTAATAATATTTGTTTACTAATTTTGGAACTCTGATTGTGGGGAAAGGAAAATGTTTTTCATGCTTAGTTTGGGAATGAAAAATACGAAGAACAAATTTGATTAAAAAAAATTCAGATGTTTAGATTGTTTAGCTTTTATATACCACGAAGTACGTAGTATAAAATAGAAGGAAAAGGGTCAAATAAGCCCTTATACTTTTTAGTACTAAAAATGTACTAAAAAGTATTATATAAGTACACCTACTTTACAAAATTGATCGATTTGACCATTTAATCAGTTGTTGACCTGTAATAGCAAGTTTTAATATCAGGTTTTAATATTTCAAAATTCTAAAAATTTGTAAAAAATTGAAAAAAATATATACAAAAAATGTGAAAATTTTCAGAATATCAAAGTCGTTACCTATAAAGTTTTCAAATTATTTGTAAATTGTAAATCTATTTAATTTTTTTTTTTTTGCATTTTCATTTTTTTCAGTTTTCTGATTTTTATTTATATTTTTACGCTTTTAAATTTTTTATCTATTTTTACATTTATACTGTTTTTTATATTATTATTAGATTGGTTATTCAAATTTATATGAATTTTTGTAAAATTTATAAGTATTCTTGATTTAATTTTTTAAATATAAATTGCTATAGCAGGTCAAATGGCTTGATTGTATTTTAAAAGTAAGTGTACTTATATGATTTCTTTTTAAGTAGAAGGGCTTAAGTGATGGATTGGAAATAGTAGGAGGGTGTATTTGACCTTTTTTCTTAAATAGAATGAATTTGAATAATTTTTTAAAACTGGTTTATGTTTCAATTCATGTGATGTGATGTGACTAAGTGATACTGTTGGCCTTCACGTGCTTGCCACAACACTCTCTTCCTTTATCCTGGCTTGGGACAAGCACTATTCCAAAAAATGATATTGGCTTGGAGAGCAAAGCAGAGAGAGAATGTTAATGTGGAGGATATATCTTCTTTATCTTTCATATGTTTGTTCTTTATCCTTTTATCTTATTTTTGTCCTTTTAATCTTATCTCATTTTATGCGTATCTTATTTCTATCTCATCCTTTTCATCTTATTTTCTTATCTTATCTTATTTATTTTTCTTATCTTTTACTCCGTATCTTTTTAGCACCGATTCATGTGTTAATCTCAAACTCTTTTAGGATTAAGACTTTGATGTTGATGTTATTTAAAACTGATTTATGGAGCTTGAAGCAACTGTATATCTTCTCACTCATTTTCCTTCATTCTAAATTTCATATCTATTTCTTCTTATTTTCTACTTTCATATTTTTTCGCAATTTCCAAGTTTCAAGCAGTTCCTAAAATCTACATCATATGTTTCACTGTTTTACTCTTGATCCTTCTTGCAATTTAGATCTGATGTTGAAGAAGGAGGAGAGACGTTATTCCCTGCTGCAGGGGGGAATTTCAGTGCCATTCCGTGGTGGAATGAACTATCTGAATGTGGAAAGCGTGGACTTTCTGTTAAACCAAAGATGGGTGACGCATTGCTTTTCTGGAGCATGAAACCAGATGGAAACCCAGACCAATCGAGTTTGCATGGTCAGTAACTGTACTTTTGAGCCCATGTTTGGTTGGGTTCTGAGGGGATGCAAGGGAATGAGAGATATAAATTTAGTACTCCATAGTATATGACTCCGTATTACATTTGGATAATTAAAGACATACTCGGTAATTAGTTATATAGTCTACAATTAACAAATATGGATACATTCGTATAAACCAAAAAATTATCCTCCAATGCTATTCCCTTAAATTTGTTAGAATCCCTCAACCAAATATACCCTTAAAGTGAGAAGCATGGTGTGCTATAGTAATATAGGACTATGGGAATGGTGCTTTTATCTAGTATGCACTGATAATGTGAAGTTAAATTAAACTTGACCGAATCAACTGATAACATTTATCATTTGTTTTTGGCAGGTTCTTGCCCTGTCATAAAGGGAAACAAATGGTCAAGTACAAAATGGATGCGTTTTAACGAATACGAAGTTTAAGCTGCTCTGTTAATGGTAATTTCTTTGTGTGGATTTTACTGCATGAGCCTCTCCAATTGCTGTTCTGAACCTGCGTTACAACTTATCATGTTCAGTATGAAGCTGGCCTATAAGTATAATGCCGTTTTACATTGTGTCAGGTTGGGAAGTAAATTTTGGTTGAGATAAGCTGATCAATGACCTATACACGTCTATAGTTGTAATGGGAACAGACACCGATACAGATATATATTACTAGAACTAAGATATACTAGGAAAATGTTACCAACTGAATCCTTTCATGTAATTTATTCTAAATAATAAATCTACACAGTACAGATTATAGTTGAAAACATAACATTTGTCAATACTTTGACAAGGTTCACACTGTTCATTGGTCACTTTCTCCCCTAGTGGTGGAGACAGGGGGCTGGAGGGAGACTTGGCCTCATCATCATTTTCATTTACCCCAGTGCCGCAAAGGCTCCCACCTACATTGGGGTAAGGGGGGATCGGATATACGCAGTCTTACCCCTGTACGGCTGTACTAAAGCACAGAGAGACCGTTTCCGGATGACCTGTAGTGAAAAGCGCGTCCAAAATTGCATGGACTGACTGCTGCTTCATAAGAAAGAAGCGCACACAATTTAGTGAGTCATTTTGCTTTATTCCATCATATTCTCAAGTCAAAAAATAAAGAATCTTTGGCTCCATTGCAAATGATGGAAAATGGAGGGGGACTTGGCCTCCCTAGAAAAAATTGGGTTGTATATACACTGTAGAGGTGGACCCAGGCCGGTTCTGGTTTGGGCCTGGGCGGGCTTTTATTTGGGAAAGGTGGAACCGGAACCGGCCCGAGTAGCTGGCTGTTCTGGGCCGGGCTGGGCCCAAATCGGGCCGGTTCCGGTTCGGGCTTAATTTTTTTATTTCCTTTTTCTTTTGTAATCAACCCCCGATCCCCCCTTCACCCCCACCGCCCAAACCCCCTCAAAACACCCAACCCAACCCGGTAGAATAAAAAAAATTGAAAAAAAAAAGGCCCGAACCGGGCCCAGACTGGCCGGGCCGGTTCGGGTTTTAGGGGGCCCGAGCCCGCACCGGGAACTGAGCGGTTCCGGTTGGCCCGAACCTGCTCCAAGCCCAGGTACGAGGCTGGGCCCAAACAATGCCGGGCCAGGCCTCCCGGCCCAAGTCCACCCCTAATACACTGGTTATAAATATTTATAACCAGTGAATTTTTTTGTTTTGGTCTCCTATATATAAATTTTTTAAACTCCCCCCCCCCCCCCCCCCCCCCCCCCCCCGAATATAGTAATATGATATGTCTAGCACCCTGGCTTCCACACTCCTCCCGCTAATCAATTGCAGTTTCAAGCAAACATCATGTAATTAAAAGAAGTAGCTTTACGCCCCTGAGAATCGTGAGATAATGGCACGTAAAGTTTAATTTAAACACTTAAGCAAAAAAGGAAGATAAAAAAAAACAAATTGTTTTATATGTATACAATCTTTACATGTATGTGCTCTATGAGACGCCAAACTCTTGCATTGCATGATATGCTCAATAACTTGATGAACTTGTACAATATTTTAAAGAAACAATCTGATATGTAACCACAGTTTTTTACGCATCAATATAAGTTCTTCCAAATACATAAAATGAAAGGAACTTTCACGTCCTGAAATACAAGTAACGTTTTTTGATAAAACTCATGTTGCAACTTTTCTAAGATTGTCAGAAAGGGAAAGTTGGCTGAAAGTTTGGCTGAATCTTTTTATGTAGAGCCGCTGCAAGTTTTGCTGAATTCTAGTACGTAGTATTACCTCCGTCCCCCTAATTTTGGGGCAAAGGGGTGTGGTGTGGTTTTTAAGAAAAAGTGGAATTGTGTGGTTGGTATTGAATTGATAAAGTGTGAATAAAGTAAGAATGAATTCTAACCACTCAAATGTTACCAAATATGGTATGAGACAAACTTAGTGGGACGGACGAAAAAGGTAAAACGGGACAAACTTAGGGGGACGGAGGGAGTACTTCATTATGGAAGTAAAAACTAAATTTCATAAACTTACACACATATATAATCTGAAACAAGCGAATGCTAAATTTAAACTTACACTCGAGAGTGGTAATGGGCATCAGTGCCTGGAGGCTGGAGGGCTCTACTCTTCAGAGCATATAAGATGAAAGAATTGACCTTTTTCTATATTTGACATGATCGAATTTTCAATATGTAACAGGGCAACCATAAGGAACCTATAATTTTGAATTGCAATCAAATTTAGTTTGCTAATCTGCACTCCCAAAAAATAGGCATGGACCCGGTTCGGGCCGCCCGGCCCGGGACCGGCCCGGCCCGCCACTGTGCAAGCCCGGAACCGGCCCGGTTCTCGGGTCCGGGTCCGGGTCGGGCCTAGGCCCGGTGGGGTGGGCGGGTCCGGGCTCGGGCCTTGTATTTGGCGAACCGGCCCGGCCGGGTCGGGCCCGGGCCCGGGCCGAATTGATTTTTTTTTTAATTTTTTTTTTCTTTTTTTGGGGTTAGCCAAGTTGGGCTTGATGGTTAGGAGGGGTTTGGGGGTTTGGGGGGGGGTGTGGGGGTGAGTGGGGGGGTTAGGAAAGCAAAAAAAAAACATTTATAACCGAACCGGAGGCCCGGCCCGGCCCGGCCCGGACCCGGCCTGGACCCGGTGGCTACCCGGGCCGGTCCCGGGCCTTCCTTCCCCAAAAAAAAAGCCCGGCCGGGCCCGGCCCGGAACCGGCCCGGCCCGGAACCGGCCCGGCCCGGGTCCATGACTACCAAAAAAGCATTTGAAAAAATTCACAAGAATAATCCAATGAGGGTTCCCCTGTAATAATAATCTCCTAACTTCGAAGGAGAAAGCCAATAGGTGGATAACTACTGTTTTCTTTTCTCAAATTTCTTTCCTATGTATTCTACAAATATTTCTCCCTCATTTATTCTATAATTGCATATACAGTTTGGTTTGAGAGTAGTCGTATACTCGTGCACGCTCAAGAAACATTTAAATGCCCAAGATATACCTATTTTAGAGTGATATCAATATTTTTTAAGAAGCTATATGATTAGTTCCGTAAATTTTGAAAGAATCTTTTAGTTCTGTAACTGTAATTAACTTAGATCTAATCCTGTAATTAATAAAATCAACCGTATTAACTAGGACTTTTGCGGTAGAAATTACACTTCACGACTGATATTTTGACAACGACAACGTCTTATACGTTATGTTTTTACATGAAAATATAATTCTGTGGAAGTCATGAATATGGACATAAGGGGCCGTCTAATGAATTTGGAGGCACCGGTTCCAAATGTAAAATTGAGGCCCCACTTTAATATAAAATATTTAGTAAAACTAAATTCAAATACTACGTACTACTTAAATCAATTGAATACTTATTAAATAATGTAATATTTTTTATTATCTAAAACTTACTTAATTCTTGATTTAAAGTAACCCACCTCATTATTCAAGCAATTTGAGCAAATGAGAACTAAAGGACCAACGAAGATATGATGGATCTATATTTTTCTTCCTTACTAATTGTATTTTACTTATTATTATTAGTAGATTAATATATAATACTAATAATTTTTTTAAAATCAGGGACCCCATAAATTTGAAGGTCCTGTTCCGGATAACCTAATTAACCCCTAAAAAACGGTCCTGCAATATCAAATCTATAATTAAGTAAAATCTTGAGACTTATAACAGACATGATTGTATGTTACGTGACCAAAACAATTTATCTCCCATAATTTTTATCCAATTGACTTGTGATGGGGGTCACAATCTCTCTCTCTAAGCAACTTGTTACCTAACATAGATAAAAATATTGAAGCTCTCATATAGGAGAGGGAAATTTAAGATGAATTACAAAGTAAGATAATAACGCATTCACTAATGCTATTTCACTTTTGAAGATTAGTAGTTAGAAACTAGAATTTTTAAGATTTTAGCTTCCCTATAATAAGCATATCCCACAACTATATATTAGGGTGGTCTTAAGATTTAAGATTATGTCTGAGTCGGGTTTGAGGATGTTTTTACATGGACCGTAATTCGTTCCAGACCAGACTAGGCCAGACCAGATCAGACCAGATTAGACAAGACTAGACCAGACTTGAATAGTTATAAATATACAAAGAAAACATCTTGAGTCGCAACATAGTACTTTAGATTCAGATCTGTTAATTTGTTTATGGTTCTAGACTTATCCGTATAACTGGTATGTCTGAAATTATTGTTCCATACGCGGACTCAATGGGTCTTGAAATCTTCTCGGTAGACCCGTCCAATATTAATTTAACAATATTGCAAATTTTCTAAAAATAATAGACTTATATTTGAATTGATTCATTTAGGGAGGTAAAGTGTATAAATGGATTGAAAATATGTGAATAAAGTTAAGAGTTTGAGGCATAATCATTACACAGATTTGATAAATTCAAGTACGGTAATAAAATTAGTTTCATTTCTCATTAAAAACAAATAAACATTTGCTTTTCTAATAATAAAAGATGTGTCACATATGTCAAGCAATTAAGAGCATCTCTAATCTATTCTTTTGACATAGCAAAAATTTGCCACATCATCAATTTTTAAAAGCGTGATTAATTTTTTAAACTCCAGTGCATGGTTTTAGAAGTTCTTTTAATCGGATGTGGAATCAACCCTTTCAACACCTCTGTTAGGATTGAGAAAGTGGGCTGTTAAGGATTGATTCTATGAGAAAATAGTGCCCATTCTCCGAAATAAGTGGCATCAATTGCTTTTATTTATTATTTAATGCTCACAGTATTTTTATTGTTTTAATAAAATCAGTCTCCGTATTGTTTTAATAAAATCAGTCTCAGTATTTTTAAAATAATACGTGGAGCCTTTAAAACAATTGAATGCTCATCGATTTTGATTAATATTGTTACTACTTACTAGATAAATCTAAATAAAATTAATTATCGTTTCCTGCTACAAGAATAAACAATCAAATAAAGTGGAAGTAAATACCTTGGAAGAAAAACATCCAATTGGAAATAGAGAGCGGGCAATTTTTTTTTGCGTGATATGCCGTGGAGGATTTTATTATTCATTTATACACGGAGTAATTGTTTGGCAACAATGATTTATATGTAGACGTCTGTTTTAATAATAAATGATAAGCAGATAATATTTAATGGGTTAACATCATGCATTGGACACCTCTTATTTATTTCTTATTATGTGATAGCGGGCTGGAATTTACCGGGTTGACTGCCGTGCGTGAAGCCGGATCAAACGTGGAAAGTAGAGGATTGCCAGTCCACGTCGGTCCAGAGAACCCCGGCAAGACCGATGAAGAGGCACGGGCTGGCGACGTCGTTGGAGTCAA